TTTCCTGAGCTGAGAGCTGTTGTCGATCAAGGATTTGACAATTCTGCAAACGTGGATCTTGTAAGTTCTCTGCAAACTTTAGAGATCCTGATTTTACAAAAGCTGCTTTGGTACTCTCTCTCTAGTTGAGAGACAAATTTTATTTTTTGGTTTTTTCTAGACTATTAAACCAGTTCATTTGGGGAAATTGTTCTTGAGTGATTGACAAAAAACTTGAAATGCATTAACAAAAATCGGTTTAGGGGACAATATAGCCCGTCAGATGGGCAAGGAAATGATTCCTCGACCTTGTAAATGTTCTGCTTAGAGGAATCTAATGTGAATCTGCTCTTTGTTCTCATTTGTTCTTTCTTTCTTTCAGGAAAATGATTTTTCATGTTTTAGACAACTCTGTATCTTTAACCAAAGCCTTTGGGCTAGTTGATCCTCTCTTTGTGTAGCTTAGGGATAAACTGGAGTAATAACTGAAACTACAGGCTCTGGAATACCTTGGAAAAAGTCGCAGAATAGTTTCCATTCATTCTTTGAGGAAAATTATTTTTCATGTTTTTAGAAATCTCTTTTGTTTAATAAAATCCTTTGGGCTAGTTGATCCTCTCTTTGTATAGTTGGATGGGATAAAACTGATGTAACAACTGAAACTACAGGCTCTGGAATACCTTGGAAAAAGTCATGGAATACAGAGGACAAGAGACCTAGCAAGAAAGCATGCTAATCTTGCTTCTGCTGCAATTGATTCCCTTCCTCGAAATGATGACGAGGATGTTCAAATATCAAGGCGGGCACTTGTAGAATTAACTCAAAGAGTTATCACTAGAACAAAGTGAAGATAAAAGGCTAGATCCCAGGTTCAAACTTACTCGACAGCTAGCAAAATTTGTTCTGTTTCTTTCGGCAGTGTTTCTGGATCATGGGGACAACATTCCCAAATTTAGTTCATTCATTCTTGAACTGATAATAATTCTGCATACGAATGCTATTTTGCACGTAATCATTTAATGGGAACTCGAAGTAGAATAAGTACCTGTTATTATAACTAAATTTTGCGGTCGGATATTAGGGACATTGCATCATGTAAAATTAATGTTTTGCAAGTATATACTAGCGCCATTTTGCAAGGTACCCTTCGGGGAGAGAGCTAGGATAAAAAATTTGTGGGGGTAATTTTCACAAAATTTTAATTGTGGTAGTAAAAATTGAAAATTATATGAATTTCTTTGAAAATCTTGAAAAAACCTTGGGCAAAATTTGAAATTTAGTGTGGGAGCAAATGTTCCTATTGCCCCCACAATAATCCATCCCTAGTACCCTCAAGTAGGAAGGAGTTAACAACCCAAATGATCACTAGACTTTGCAAAAAAAATTTATTGGATCACTGAACTTTAAAATTCACTAAAGTCAATATTGAACTTTGCAAAAAGTTTTCATGGGATCAGTGAAATTTGCAAAAGATTTTTACGGGGTCGTTGAACTTTAAAAATTATCCCATTCATCATTGAATTTTGCAAAAAGTTTTCCAATGATTACTGAATTCAATGATCCCTTGAAAATCGGAAAGTTTTTGTAAAGTTCAGTGATCTCGTGAAATTTTTTTTCAAAGTTCAATGATTAATGGAGTGATTTTTAAAATTCAATGACCCGTGTAAATTTTTTGAAAAGTTCAGTGATTTTTAAAGTTAAGTGACTTAATGAAAACTTTTTGTAAAGTTCGGTGATCATTTGGGTTATTAACCCCCCTCATGTAGTATAGATGACATGCTTGCTAACATAAAAATCACTTGATCTACCCATCCTTGAGCATGCCATGGGAAGTGATTGGCTATTGTGAGCTTGGTTCTACCGATCCAGTTTCATGCAGTGAAACTGTAATAGTAGATGCTGCATTAGTTTTTCGACAATTATCTTTTCATCTCCGTCTGGGAGAGTCGAGCAGGATCGGTCTTTTGAGAAATTTGTGCTTGCTACTTTCCATACCCCGTCATGCCGAATAAAATAGCATTGTGTGGACCGTGCTGGGTTGGTCGCCGATGAAGAGTGTATAACTGGAATCCAACTATAGTATCTAGTTCAACATAATGAACACATCATAAATGTTTTGTTATACGCTCTCTAATTTGAACCAAGTCTCGTTGATAAATTTCGTTTTACTTAACATTATAATTAATATGATCCGAATCAAAAGGAAAATTGACATCAAAGACATAAAGGGTATAACTTACTTTCTTCAAGAAACATATGAGAAGTGCTGGGGAAGTGAAAAACTGATAATTAACGCATATTCATATTCAAACTCGGTAATACTAATCACACAGCCTAGTGC